TTATTTAAAAAAAATGTTTTAATGACTGACCCAAGATTCATTTGTCTCTGTATTCAGCCGCATGGATGTTTTGTAGTGTGATATCAGGTGATCTGAGAGGAGTCAGCCACTTGAGACACAGTCCCAAATCTGTCTCCATAAGACTAGAACCCAGGCCTTCAGCTATCAGGTCTGACACTGAGGGTCAACAGCAAAATGAGAAGGTACAGTCTACATTAGAAAGAATAGACACCTGTTCAGTGAGTTTCTGTAGTAAAAAGGTTGTAGAGTCATTCACTGCCCCAGGGGATGTCTAGAGTGCGCGCAGGGGTCTAAGGAGGCAGCTAGTGCAAGTGAAATTCTACCAGTTGCTCCCGGCTTAATGACTCATGCCTCCAGAATCCTTGAGACAAATGAACTAAGTTGGTGAGTCATTAATAGTGACCAAGAATCTATCATCTATCATAAGTACTTGATAGTCTACAAAGATCTCTCACCAAAATCATCTGATTCTTTTCCCCTGCAGAGTGCTTAGAACCACCCTGTCAATGACAGAGAGGCCACTGCTACCATGGCTACTGACTGTTATCTAGTGCCTTGGTTGCAGTTTTCAGGAGCCTTGGCATCAAACCTGTAGACTCCTGCTTGGTAGAATCTTTCTTGTAAGGAAGGGGTTATTTTCCCTCCCCCAGAAAGAGATGTAGTGCTGAGAAGTCCCAAGGATGCCTCAAGCAGACAGAGAGGTCTGGGAAAGACAATTAAGTAAGATATTATTAAGTCACTTTTCTAACTTAAGAAGTAGGACTGATTTTCTAACCCTAACTATAATCTTAAACACAAACTCTAACCCTAAATGCTAACCCTAACCCCTAACCCTAACTCCTAACCCTAACCCAAACCCTAACCCTAAACCCTAACCCTTAAACCTTAACCCAGAGCTAACCCTGAGTTCTTAGGGTGGGGTTAGCAGGTCCTAATTCTAAGAACTAGGCATGCTTCTGGCATTCATTACTGAGAAGATTTGGTCCAAACTGGTACAGTCTTCTTCCATTCTTTTCTTGGGGATACCTGGAGCACTCTCATGAAGATGCAAGCCCGTGGGGGTCATCTGTAAAACTGTGATCCACCTTGATCTCCAAACAATCAGTGAAGATGCAAAGTCAATACCTAGCTCCAAAGTCAAGGTTGTGAGGGGCAGAGAAGAGGCCAGGAGTGGGCCTGAGAGCACAACATACATACTACTTGGCATCACATCTCTGTACACGTGTGACACACATACTCCTCAATGATGCCTATTTGGCTGGTAGATGCCTCTAACATGAGATGAATGCTTTTCCATAGTTTCTGGGGGAGCTTAGAGTTCGGCAATCACCCAATCCCACTCCCTTCTCCATGTAGGAAGCTAATTGCAATACTTTTGGCAGGAGGCCATACAGTCTCTGCCTGAACTCCTCCAACAGTAAGAAGCCCACTGCACACAAGGACAGACAGGTCTATGGTGGGACTCTGCCTCGGCTGAAGCCTGCCTCCCATTCATTACCTGCCTCTCTGTCTTAGCTTTCTCTAGGAGTTGGAATAAATAATAAACATTTGTCTCCATGGTAGCACTCCAAATATTTGAAAAGAACCAACAGTGCCTCCCCCAGTATCTCTTCTTGACAGAAAAAAATCTTCATTCCCTCATAGGATATGGTTTCCAGACTTGCCTCTGTCCTGTGGGCCCTTCCTGTGGGTGACCTAGTTAAGAGATGGACCCAGAACCGAACCAGTGACACGGAAAGTCTGTCTGTGCTGCAGTTCACAGTCACTGTAAAAGTAGCCAGATAGCACTATTGACTTACAATGAGCTTTTGGTCAGTCAGCATTTACAGAGATTTAACAAACAAACAAACAAACAATGCCTTTCACTCCCTCCCCCTGTGACCGCACTCTTGTGCCTGATTTCTTTTCCTTACAAACTTGGATATTGGACTGTATAGTCAAAATCCCTTTGGCCCCCAAATACAACACACCTTACATTTTGAGTAGATAACTGTCATATTTGGAACCTATTATTTCAAGCTAAGGCAGTTTTCCTAAATCTTCATTTCATAATTTTATATTCTAGCAGTTCCTCCAAGTTTGATATCTTTCAATTTTTTTTTCCAGTCTACATTTTTTGTTTCCAGGCAGATTCCTTAGGCAGGATGCAGAGACAGGAACAGAGGCGTGGGGCCCACCACTAGAGACCGTTTGCTGTGTTCACACAAAACTAGTCATCAGCTCATCCAGGGCATCCTTAGTGTCCAGCAATACCATCTAACTGTATTTCCACCAAAGCTATGGCTCACTCACCCACCCACAATGACTTAATAGGGGCCATTTCTTTAGCCAAAAGGAATGCTTCCATGACTTCAGCTATTGACATGAGGCATTTTGGAGAAACTTCCCAGCATCCCACAAGCATCCTGTGTAGGTGGTCTGGGCAGCTCTTGGTCAGACCAGAGCTATGTGTAAGCATGAGCTGTAACCATGAAACCCAGCATGCAGGAATCTTCTTGCAATTCAAGGGCTCTCCTTAGGCATCTTGCATCTAGGGCCGATATGACCTACTTTCAGTGGGTATGGAAGGGAGGTCCCAGGAGACAGCTCATTCACTGAAGGTTCCTGTGTGTCTGTGGCTGGACAAGGAAGCCTCACCCTGGCTTGTGTCACCACGCTGGTCTGCCTAAAGGAGGCCTTTTAGGAAAATGTGCAGTTCAAAGCCTGTGCCTGTCATCCAACCTTTCATAGCAGATGTCCGCTCTGCAGCCCTCTGGGTGGCTGTGAATTCACCAGGACCTGTGCACTTGCCTTTGGCATGATGCTCCAGCTTTCCTCATGACACACACTTGGTCTCTGCAGCAACTAAGGATGGTATTTTCTCTCTGATGGGAGTCCTCAGATCATGGTGGATACAACTCCCCCCCACAAACATCAAAGCTGAGCACTATGTTGCTCCTCATCTTGGACTCTCAGCACTTCCAGAATAAGAAAGTTCTTCCCAACATTTTTTTTTTCCCAGATTGCCTAAGTCTATTTCATTTCACTGGGGTTCTGCTTTGGATGTAACATGTTTATGGCTGGGATAGATCTCAGTTGGTAGAATGGCTAGCACCGTGAAGCCCTGGAGTTGGCTCTCTAGCACCATATAAATCCAATATGGTAGCTGCATGCCTGGGACCCTAACACCAGGAGATGGAGGTAGGAGAATGAGAAACTGAAGGTCATCATTCTTGGCTACATATTGAGTTTTAGGTTAATTCAGAATACCTGAGATCCTGCTCCCACCCCAATTAAATTAAATAAATAAATACATGAATAAACTATGTCACAGCTTAACTCCCCTTCATATGCTAAACACTGTAACTAGCACACTGTAGGAGGTCAGTGAACATTTGCCTGTGGAAGTGCTGCTCACAGAGTCCCTTTTCCAGGATTGTTTATTATTATTATTGTTATTATGTTGTTGTTGCTACTTTACTAGTAGGAGATGAATCTTAATCTCTCACAACCCCACATCGGCTGGTATTTTGGTCTTTTTTCCTTCTATTTGCACCATTAACATCTTCTTAGCCACAGAGCCCAGACCTTTCTTCTCTCAGCACTCCAAGTGGAGCTTTTAGCCAAGCGCAAGGCCACCGAAAATGCCATACATAAGCTCAGGGTCTGCTGAGGCAGGGCAATGCCATGAAGGAATGAATGTCTGCTCTGTGTGCTTCTCTTCACGGTATAGTTTAATAGTTGATCTTGGGTGCATCTCTGCCTAAGGGAACAGTAATCTCTGGTACGCATTGCTTGGGAGAAGGAAATTCAAAAGTGGGAAATTTGTTCACAAGTGGTACACAGAGTTCTGTGTGTCAGATGCAACAATGATTAAGATGTAGCTTCTGGGGCTGAAGAGATGGTTCAGAGGTTAGGAGCATTGGCTACTCTTCTAAAGGTCCTGAGTTCAATTCCCAGCAACCACATGATGGCTCACAGCCATCTATAATGAGATCTAGTGTTCTCCTCTGGCATGCAGGCAGAACACTGTATACATAATAAATAAATAAAATTAAAAAAAGATGTAGCTTCTGTCCTCCAGGAGATTTTGGTCTCGTCAGAGAGCAGAGACACATACAAGTGGGTACTGTTTCCTAAGAGGATGTAGAGTGGGCATGGAAAGTTCTCAGACACTGGGTTGCATAAGCCCATTCTCTTCCATGTCAGTTCCATTGAAAAACAAAAGTTGGGTTACTGGTAATCCATCCCTGAATCGCACGGTCTCCATGGCACTCTTGTTATCATGAATAAATGGCCATGTTTGAAGATGATGACTAGAAGTGGCCTCACACTCTAGCCAAGGGGAGGATGGGAACTCACTCATGCTTCATGCAGGCTGGACCAGGTCCCAGTGTGTACTGTGTGCTGTGTGTTCTCGGAGCACAGGAGAGAGGAGCAGGGCAGTGGGAGTCACAGAAGGATAACGTCTAGGGCACAGTCTGGGGACGTCTCCTAGAGCCTAAATGGGGGTGATTTCAAGTCTCTTCTCTTTCTAAGATGGCTTGGCAGTTAAGAGCACTTGTTGCTCTTCCAGAAGACTGAGCCAATCCCCAGCACCCACATGGCTGCTCACAACCCTCTGTAACTCCAGTTTCAGGGGATCCAGTGCTCTCTTCTGGCCCCCTTGAGCACCAGGTACACACATGGTACACAGACATACATGCAAGCAAAACACCTGTACACATAATGGTATCCATTCTCCAGAAATCCTTCAACTTGCCCTTGTATCAAATCTAGCAGGTATTGATCCCCATATATACCCAGCACTCAACAAGCGGGCAAGACATGTTATACGAAGAGAGAGAGAGAGAGAGAGAGAGAGAGAGAGAGAGAGAGAGAGAGAGAGAGAGAATACATTCAAGTGAAGATGCTATTGAGAGCCTGTGGAGGCTGAGTATACACAGGTTCCAGATTCCACGTGCACAACAGCATAAAAAGAGAAAAAGCATAGCGCTTACCTCTATTTGGTTGATCAAAGAATTGTCAAATTTGAACCCAGGAATCCTCTTGTCACTGCACACCACACCAACGTCTTCTGTGTGCTTGCAGTCAGTGACACCCCAGCCATTGGAGGAGCAGGCTGCCAGGGTCGCCTCTTTGCCAGTGCAGTGGATATTGTCCAACCAGATGGGTCCTGCAGGAAGTAGAGGAGAGAAAGGAGAGATCCTGTCAGTGCAGATCCAGGTGGCAAGGATGCTAGCGCCTTACACAGAATTCCCCCCAAATTTGGCGGTGTGTGTAGCCATCAATTATTTTTTCTTATGTAAGGTTGTCACACCTAATTTTGGATCACTGGGATTCCCTTGCCAGGACAGGCAGCTGATGTGATCTGAGGAGGTTGTGGTTTGAACACAATTAGGACAGAAATCAGATTTAATCCTGAAAGTGGTGTGGTCTATCAGTTACCTTTCTCAGTGTGTGAGAAAACATCTGACAGAGACGTAAAGGGAGAAAGGTGTACATTGGCTTGTGGTTTACGAAGGGATGCAGTCAATCACAGCGGGAAGGCATGACATCGGGGAAGCGAGGTGGCTGGTCATACTGTGTCCCCCAGTCAGGAAGCAGAGAGAGGTGAATTCTGGTGCTCAGCTGGCTTCCTTGTTTTTCTTTATATTCAGTTTGGGACCCCAGATGGTACCACCCACACTCAGGGTGGGTCTTCCTTCCTCAGTTAAATCTCTAAGGAAACATCTTGATAGGCACACCCAGAGGTGAGTCTCCTAGGAGATTTCAAATCCAGTCACCTTGACAATGAAGTTGAGTTTAACTTATCATTATTCCTGTGTATGTGTACATGATGTGTGTGGGGGTGGGGCACATGAGACAGTGAGAAAGTGTAGAGGTCAGAGAGCAATTTTGTAGAGTTGGATCTCTCCTTCCATGATTACGTGAGTCTCAGGGATCTGGTTCAGGAGACCTTTACCTACTGTGCTACCTCACGAGTCTGACAATGAAATTTAAACATTATGAGCGGTACAGAAGAACAGGGGCTTTTGTGGGGAACAGAGGGAGCCCCAGGTGAATGTGTAAGGAGCTGTCTAATTTACTTTTCAATGGTTGTTACAAAACACCATGTCCAAGGCAACTTAGAAAAGAAGGTGTTTAATTTAGGGCTCATGGATCCAGAGGGTTGGAGTCCATGCCTATCATGGTAGGAGCATGGCAGCACATAAGAAGGCATGGTCCTGGAGTCGTAGCTGACAGATCACATCTAGAGACACAACCATGAGGCAGGGAGAGTGAACTGGAGTACAAGGCCACACCTCCCAATCCTTCACGAACAATCTCTTCCCAAACAGTTCCACTAACTGGGGACAAATATATGAGCCTATTGGGGGCAGGGGACAAACCACCACAGAGCAGATGAAGTCTTGAGTGAATGTGTATTATTGACAAGGATGAAAGCCCCATGGGAACTGGCAAAGCCTTCCTCTGGTCTCTGTGTGGCTGTTGATGGTATGTGCAAAACCTGGTAACCAGAGCTTCTTTCTGCTTCTTTCTCCAGGATGACTGCAGTCTGAGACTCACTGCTCTCCCACAGAGACCTCCTGCGAAGACTGCCTAACCCTTCCTTCTGGCCTGTGCAGAACGCGGGGGCAGAAGTTCTGGATTGTTGCTGTAGCTGCTGCTGCTTCATAGAACCAGCACGGCCCACCCAACCCCAGCCTTCCTGTACCTGCGTGCATGTGTGCATGCGTGCATGCGTGTGTGTGTGTGTGTGTGTGTGTGTGTGTGTGTGTGTGTGTGTGTGTGTCTGTCTGTCTGTCTGTCTGTCTGTCTACAAGTCTTCTGTCCTTTCTTCATTTTTTTATCACCCCAATCAGGTTTCCCATACCAAGCCATGGCGGAGGCAGTAGGTTTCGGAGACTAACCTGGGTTCGAATTCTGGCTCAGTCTCTTGTAGCTTTGAACCCCAGGTCAAAGCCCCTTTCTTACCCATAAAATGGAGACAGCAAGTGAGACAAGGGTAGACAAAAACTTGTGAGCTGCCGAGGTGTGGGACGCCTCGAGATAGCTCATTGCTGCTCTGCAGTGGCTTGAAAATGGGGACAATGACGAGCGTGTGGGTGTCAGTTACACCTACAACACAGGTCAGCCTCACCTGACGCTGCATGTGGGGCAGCCCTCCGCTGGCCACTCATGGTAAAGCTCCGCTGCTCAGGCTGGAGAGGTGGCTCAGTGGTTAAGAGCACTGGCTGCTCTTCCACAGGACTTGGGTTCGAGTCCCAGCGCCCACATGGCAGCTCACAACTGTCTCTAACTCCAAGATCTGACACCCTCACATAGACATACATGCAGGCAAAGCACCAATGTAAAAAAAAAAAAAAAGATAAATAAATTTTTATATATATATATCATCTGCTCTATAACCAAGGGGTTGCTGTTTACCGCACATCCACATACATTACCACCTTGACTTTACCAATCCTTGGGGAGACCTAGGTGACACCATTACTCTCTCTTCACAGACACAGAGCCTGGCTCAGATAGGTCAGCCTCTGGGCACCAAGTCATAGCCTATGAGTCAGTTCTCCAATTAGTGCCTTCTCGATTCCTCTTTTTCACTATACCTGGTTCAGGGACAGGCCGTTACACGCAGCCACCATTACACATACAGCAAGGTCACTGTGGAGCGTGGCTTTCTTTGTGTTAGTAGAAAATTCTATGTGCAAAGCACTAGAAGGTTAACCATGAGGTGCTGTCTCATGCCATCGGGGTGGTGGTGTGGCTTGGGTGTGAGATGTCCTCGGCAGGCTCCTGTATTTGATCCCTAGCTGATGGCACTGCTTTAGAAGGTTGGGAAACTTTTTGGAGGTGGGGCCTTGATGGAAGGAAGTGAGTCACTGCGGGAGGGCCTTAACATTTTATAGTGTGACCACACACTTCCTGACACACACACAATCAGTTTGCTGCTTTCTGTCTGTCAAGATACGAGGGAATATGCCGGATTGGTAGTGCATGTCTCTAATCCCAGCACTTTGGAGGCAGAAGCATGCAGATCTCTGAGTTCGAGGCCAGCCAGCCTGGTCTACATGGTGAGACCTTGTCTCAAAACCAAAAACAAAGGCAAAGCCAAGAAGTGGTGAGGAGTCCCAGGCTGCAGACTCCGGCTACTGTGGCACCACTATGATGGACTTTATCCTACCAAACTGTGAGTCAATACAACCTGTCTTTAGTTAGGATGCTTCTTGACAAACACTTGGTCACAACAATGAAAGTATCCCATTGTGGGGAGTTCCTATCAAAAACACAAGGAAGCCGGGCGGTGGTGGCACACACCTTTAATCCTAGCACTTGGGAGGCAGAGGTAGGCAGATCTCTGTGAGTTCGAGGCTAGCCTGGACTACAGAGTGAGTTCCAGGAAAGGCACAAAGCTACACAGAGAAACCCTGTCTCAAAAAAAACAAAACAAAACAAACAAACAAACAAACAACAACAACAAAAAAATCCCCACAGGGAATAGTGAACGCACTGTACTGGTGAGGATGTGCAGAAACCAAAGCCCATGTACATCAATGGTGCAGATACTGTGGGAAACAGTATGGCGTTCCTCGAAACACTTTTTTTTTTTTGACTAGTTTGTTGTGACGGGGGCCAGTGCTGGGGATAGGTCTCTGGGCCTTGTACAACCACCAAGCTATGTCCTCAGCCTCCAAACTTGAAAGCTATCACATGATTCGGAATTCCAAAACTGAAGCCAGGTGTAATGGCATACAGCTATAATTACAGCTCCTGAGGAGACTGAGGCAAGAGGATCACAAGTCTGAGGCCAGCCGGGCTACACAGTGAGATCTAGACTAGCCTGGTCTACAGAGTGAGACCTTGTCTCAATATATATTTATATATAAATTTAAAAGACTCAGGATGTAGCTTAGTGATGAAGTGCTGTCTAGTATCCACAAGGACCCAGAACAAGAAAGTAAGGGAGGGAGAGAGGGAGGGAAGGAAGGAGGGAGGGAGGGACAGACATGGAAAGACAGGCCTTGGGGAGGTGTTTGCACACCCACATTCACAGCAACACAATTCATAACTGCCAAGAGACAGAAGCAGCGGACATCTGTTGACAAACTGCATACATATAAGGGCAAAACTGTAGGAGGGAAAATTCTGACGCATACTTCAACATACTTCAAACCTTGAGGACAATCCGCTAAGTGGGAAAAGCTGGTCATGAAAGGCCAAATACGGGAAGATTCCTACATAGAGTTCTCAAATTCTGAGAAAACAAGTAGACTAGGAATTGCCAGGGGCTGCAAAAAGGATGGGAGATGGTTATTTAGTGGGTCCAGAGTTTCTGGTTTGGAAGAATGTTCTGGAAATTGGTTGCAAGACAATAGGAACATCCTTAACATGACTGAACTATATATGTACTTCAAATGGTTAAGATGTAAATATCCTCACTATATTTTACTGCAATGAAAAATAAAAACATAAAAAGATGCCAGATGGTTTTCAAATAGTTATTTTGTACACGTGTGTGTGTGTGTGTGTGTGTGTGTGTGTGTGTGTGTGTATCTGCATAGACGTGAAAGATTGCTCACATGTGTGCACGTACATTCGTGGAGGCCAGAGCTTGGCTTTAGCATGCCTTCCTCTAGTGATCTCTACCTTATTTTTTGCAACAGGGTCACTTCTCTGAACCTGGAGCTCGACAATTCGGCTAGGCTGACTGGCCCAACATCTTAACGGATGGGACTGTCTCTGCCCCCTGTGCAGGATTATATAGGTACAGCCTTCATATTTGGCTTTTATGTGGATGCTAGGGATTCAAACTCAAGTCCTCATACTTGCACAGCACACACTTTGCCCCCGCCCCCACTCTCCCATCCCCACCCCGAGCACTACAAAAACCAAAGTAAACCAAGGCCATTTTCCCATAGGTCCTTTTAGAGGCCTGCAGAACAGGAGAGGCTAACAAATCTGTGTTTATGTCCTGTCTGCCATGGGCTTGGGTGACCTGTGACTCCATCAACTATTAAAACAAACCTTGTCCCCCTTTCTAAAATCAAAGTGACGTCCAACAGACAGGTTGCCATGAAGACCCAACAAGTTAACAAACGAGCCCAAGGACATGTCCGATCCTCTTTTCCTTCTAAGTAGAAAAGCCAGTGTATTATATGGTTCCCCTAGTGG